CCCTTTCCAATTTCAAGAATTACCTGGACCCAAACACATGCCCCCTCCCAACTCTCCTCCCATATCTTATTTTCTTTTGTTTTTCACTGATTTTATTCTTTCTCTCATGGTGACAGAATCAAATCGGTATGCCCAGCAGTTTATAACGAGTAAGGGAGGAAATGTTTCTACTCATCTGAAGAATTGGAACAGGATAACAACGCCAGAAATGAAAGGATTTCTGGCATGTATTCTCAACATGGGAATTGTAAAGAAACCCACCATTGCGTCATACTGGTCTATTCTGCCTTCCCAAGCCACCCCCTGGTTTGGGAAAATGTTCTCAAAACATCGGTTCTCCCAGTTACTGCGATTCTTTCACCTGGTGAACAACGAGGGATTGGCGGTCCCTGGAGAAACAGGATATGATCCCTGCGCAAAGTACCAGCCCCTAGTAGACCATGCCAACAGGGTATTCCAGCACCATTATACACCACATCAGCAACTTTGTGTTGATGAGAGTCTCATGCAATACCAGCCCTACAAGCCCCACCACCCATTGGGGATAAAGTTCTGGATGATATGCGACTCTGTTTCCAAATACTGTCTGGGTTTTTATACATACGGAGGTGCCAGATCCCAAGACGACAGAGACAGTATCCAGAAAAATGGTTTGGGGTACACTGTTGTGAAGAAGCTCCTGGGGATTGGTGGTTACCTCAACAAAGGTTACCTTGTCTTTGTTGACAAATTTTTTATGTCTGTGCCACTTGTCCATCATCTGTATCAGCTCGGCACATATGTGACTGGAACCATAAAGAGGAACAGGAAATTTTTGCCCCAACAGTTTAAAAACAAATTTTCAGTCGGTCAGAAAATGTACTTCAGATCTGGTCGAATTCTCGCTTGCGCTTTCCGGGAAAAGAAATGCCAAAGACATCCGGCTATTCTTCTCTCCAGCCACGCAACAGTTCAAGAACAGGAAGTTACACTAACAGGCAATGGTGGCAATAGAAAAACAACAAAACCTGAAATAATAACGACCTACAACAAATTCATGGGTGGGATTGACACCTCCGACATGGTGTTGTACACCTACGTCGACGAAAGGCGAACCATCAAATATTGGAAGAAGGTAGCTTTCAACATCATTGCCAGGATGGTGCTGAACAGCTACATTCTTTACAAGGAGAACTACAGGGGGCCTGACAAAGTAAGATCAAGACGGAGCTACACAGTGGCCATCATTGAGACCTTGGGAGAGGATTGGATGACGTTGAAGGGTGGCACTGTGGACGATCCGAGAGGACCGCCGGGAATAAGAAAACTACCGGAGAAAAAGGAATACCGGTGTGTTGTGTGCAGCACCAAGGAAATGAGGAGGAGATCGAGAACGGTGTGCAAGAGGTGCAACAGGGGGCTGCATGGAGAGTGTTTTCCGAAGCACAGGTGCTGACTCCGAAAGGTACGTGTACATTGTTTTACATAAATTGATGTTTTTCAGGATCCGATAACAATATAGACACCAAACATATATCAAATTATGCAGCAATAAATGTTGTTTCTTGCAGGATGAACTTTGAAGAAGGGAAACAAAAAAACAATTTATGTTTTTACCTCCTAAAAATAATTTTATTTTTATTTTATGTTTCACTTTTTCAGAATTTTCTGTAAGTTAAGAGAACATTAGAATTTATGTGATATTCTTGTTCAAATCAAAATTATTTATTGTATAAATCTGATTTGTGTGTGTGTGTGTAAAATTCTATTTTTGTGAATTTTTACTTTTTCAGCTGTAAATGCATGAAAATTGGCCTGAGTGTTTTAGACCAGAACAGTGGAAATAGGCTGAGAGCGAGAGGGTTAAAGAAATTGGTTACTTTTAACGGCGAATTCGAAATACTCGTGTAATATTAATTTGGTAAACATCGACAAAACCCACTCTTCTTTAAGTGACTGTGACGTCATGCTAGTCATTGTTTCCTTCGGTACAGATATCAAAGCGAACCAAATGTTCAGATATGGTTGATGTGTTTGCAAGCTCTGAGTATTTGATCCACATTTTTAAACAAAGTCTAAACCTTTTGCCATCCTGACAATCCATAACCAGTGTATAAGATCCAGAATGTCACACTGTACAACTGTAAGTAAAATCAGTATCACCCTCAGCTGGGTTAACTATTATTTTCAACTTTTGTGCTGGTCCTCATAACGCTGTCTGAAAGGGACTAAGAGATCTGTGCGAACCCCTAAAATTTTACATTATTGCATTCTTCGAGAAATTTCTGCGTAGAACACGAAATAACATGTAAACTATTGCGGGATATCTGCAGCAGCTTCTGAGAAATGTCACTTGTACTATTGAATAGATATACATCCATCAGTCCATTATGCAGTACCTAGATATATTTATGTTATATAATAATGTGCTGTGAATTAAGAGTTGGAAATTTGACAGTTTTTTTGAACTGCTGCTCTACAAACGCAATTATTAAAAAGTAATTAAAAGTCACAGCCTGAGTGGTAAATATAAACTTTTAGCTAAATCTTCAAATTTACTTTGTTAGTACCTACATCAGTAACAAACCGAAACATAACATCTGACTCGATACAGGGCTGGCATAATGGTATTTGGAGCCTGTAGTACAGCATCCCTATGTGTGTTCTGTTGATTCTTGGTTCTTGACATCAAGCAAAAATGGCGACAGCCAAGTCTGCAACTAAACTGACGCGTAAAAGTAACAGGCAATTACAAATGTGAATTAATCAGCAATCATGACTGTCTTCCTGTTCATAAATCTCATATTTTCTTTCCAGTACGAAAAAAGTTCCCCGAAATTTGATGTTCCAAAAATTCCAGCAACACTTTCTAAAGCGAGGAATCACATTCGTGAAATTACAGGATTGAAGTTTTGATCTCTCTGACTCAATATTCAGAGTTCTGCACCATTTACCACAAAACTTTAAATTTTTAATTTGATTAATGCAGACATTATATATACACAAAATGTATAGATGAAGGGGCATTGAGAATGCCAAAGGTGCAAAGAATGACTGTGGAAATTCTGCGTAAACCTTATCAAATCCTTTCTGTAAGATGTGGCATACATGCATCTGCCCCTCCTCCAGAAACGTTCAAATCAGTGGACAGATTTTCATCAAAATTTTTATGAATATATGCCACTACAGGCAAAATACAGTGTTGATGCAGGCTTCTGATGTGGGTTGCAATATTTAGTGCCACTGAATCTCTAAAGTCCTGAAAATCATTATCATTAGATCTGTCAGCTGAAAGCAAGTTGTGTGAAGTGGAAATTCTTAACACGGGAACTGCGTTAAATGTACATTTGGCTTCCAGTTTGATCGTGATAACTGAAGATTTGTTGAAGCAGGGAATCTGAAATTTTGTATAGAGCAGAACATAGATACAAATTTTGCATGAAGTATTGATACATTACACATATTTCACTGTTATGAGTTTATATCTGATACATCTAGGCAACACGGAGTTTTCCTCCGTGGCATCCCAACAATTACTCCATTCACACGCAGAAGAAGGCAATGGCAAACCACTTCTGGATCATCTGCCAAGAACGTATATGAACAGGTCCCAGTCCGAGAAAAGGATGGAAGGATCCTGTTCATATGGACCTGTCGTCAGACAGAACACTAAATAAATAATAAACATATAATATAGTCAGAATGTTCAGTAATTAAAATTATGGACACTGAATATTGTAATTGTTCATTTATTATAGTTCTTACTAGTGTCACTACATGAATTGAAATACAAAGGAAAACAAGATTCATCAGTTCTTCCCAGGACTTCTTATAATGTAGTTTTGTACTATTACTAACGCATAATTTTATTTTGCAGCCCAGAAGAATAGTCAAACCTCATCAAACAAAAATGAAGCCAGAACATGGAGAACAGACCAAAACCAGAAGTCCAATGAAGGATTGTACAGACTTACTTGAAGCTTCGACTGTTCAACTGTAATAAGAAAAATGAAAATATCTGTGATTCCAGTGAAATCATTTCTTCGCTCAAAAGAAATTACAACTTTTACAGTCGGAGACAGAAATTCTTGAAGCTGGCGAGAAGATAAATGACTTTAGGAGAACATTTGAAGAGAAAGTCAAAGAAGCAGAATGGAAAATGCATGCGCACATAGACAAAGGAAGACACGCTGAGGCAAAGTAGCGACGTGTGAGACGCACAAACCAGGAGAACAGTTTTTGACCTTCCGGAACAAGACCGACACTCTTGCAGCAGAAGTGAGAAGTGTCAGACAACTTTGCGAAGCAGACATACATCAAGAGGCGAATAAGCAGGATGCGACAAGAAATCAGCTAATAACAATGAACACAGAATTACAGAATATGAAGGCCTCCTACGTAGCAGTCCAGAAGAAACTCTTCAACGTCGTGGTCATACTAACGCAAAAGCTAGAAGACAATAAGCAGGGAATGACTCAGTTCAAGACAGACGCTGCTCAGCAGATAGAAAGTCACGTAAAGGTTTTCAATGCAAGCTGGAGAATTGTAAGGAAGAGGGCCAATAAAAATATTGATTCAAAACAACAGATCATAGACTACCAACATAAAGCTGTAAAAATTGTCTGCCAGAATAACTGAAGCAACAGAAACTTTGTCAGCTGCACGACAAAAGAATACTGATCATGAACATGAAATAGTCTCTCTTAATCAGAAGCTACCTGCCACGGTGGTCTAGCGGTTAGAACGCTGGCCTTGTAATCCTGGGGTCTCGGGTTCGAATTTATAACTTGTGTTGGGCAAGGCCGTGGTCTAGGCAACACGGAGTTTTCCTCCGTGGCATCCCAACAATTACTCCATTCACACACAGAAGAAGGCAATGGCAAACTACTTCTGGATCATCTGCCAAGAACGTATATGAACAGGTCCCAGTCCGAGAAAAGGATGGAAGGATCCTGTTCATACGGACCTGTTGTCAGACAGAACACTAAATAAAATGTAAATATAAAAATCACAAGCTGAACACTAAATAAAATATAAATATAAAAATCAGAAGCTAGATCATCAGATCATCAGCAGCGTGAAATAAAATCTAAACAGCAAATAGCAAGTCTGCGGGATCAGGTCCTGGCACTAACTGCAGAGTTGGATCGTGAAAAGAATTCCTCACACAAGGCATACGATCACACTGCGGAACTTGCTGCTGAAATGGCAAATAAAGATAATGTAATCTGTGAACTCGTGACATCAGGTTCGCTGAATCCAGAGAAGAAGATAAGTTGTGGCCGGAGTATTCTATTGGCGCTTCGGAATCATCCTCGATCAAGGAAGAGACCAGAGAATGAACCAGAACTTCGTGTGGATCTGAAGGATAACACAAATCAGGTAAGTTTAAAGTGGCTGCTGCATTGTGGGTTATGGCTCTAGAAATAAATTTTAAGTTACACTGAGCATGCGACGAGGATTCCTTGCGATCATAAATACTAAATAATAATTGTAAATTGGCAGAAATTGGTATAATAAAGTAGTAAGTGCTCTGAAATTGTGTAATTGAATGTGCTTCAGAATTTATCATTTGTTGTGTTCAGATCTGCAATTACCCTGTGCTCAGGCGATTGGCGACGTTTGTATGGCGAGAAAAGATGGTTTCATCTGTGTTTAGAAAACATTGCACTTGATAGTTCTTGAGATAGGACATGAGGCATAAGTATTTAAAGTTGAAAGAAATTTGTTATGGATGTAATAGCAGACTAAGCTACATGTAAAAGGGAATTGTGTATATTATGGGTCGTCTACAGCGTCTCCCTTATGATAAACATAAAATTCTTGACAAAAATAATTATCATGTTATTTACGGCAAGGGCAAGTTATACATCAGTGACCATTCTTGGCTATCCACTGAATGTAGGCAAGTGAGATCAATATGCTTTTTGAGAGTAGGATAACAAGGTGGAGACTTTAAGATGTTTCCTACATTAACATCAGCAGTAGTGTCTCACTTTTCTGCGGGAAGTGATGGACGCGATAAACTAAAAACAAGACGAGAACCAGATTTCAGTCTTGCTGTGTAGGGCTTTATGCATACAATATTTTTCATTTGCTGGGCTGAAGAAAGCATCTTGAAATGCATGAAATGGTATGTGACTAAACCCAAAAATGGATAGTTTTAACAAAATATATGCAAATTTAGGTGTGAAAAATGTAATCAAACTTGAATTGTTTATGTAAGACTTGAGGTTCTCACAGCGGTGAGTATGAAAATATCCGTCTTCTGGGTTGTTGCGCTGTGTAGTCTGGTCTATGTTTACCAACGTTTCGGAGGTCATACTGCCTCCGTCATCAGGGCGATGAATATCCGTAAACATGCGATGAATATCGCCCTGATGATGGAGGCAGTATGACCTCTGAAACGTTGGTTAACACCGACCAGACTACACAGCGCAATAACCCAGAAGACGGATATCTTCTTGAATTGTTTACCTTATAGTGTATTTCAGAATATGTAGGTAGGGCATGGTAGATCGGACATCCTCCACCATGAACAGAACTGTCAACTGACATCATCTCATGACTTACATTTTCCTGACTTCACGAGAAGACACATCTCTCGAGAGGTAAGTGTGCAAATATTTTGTGTAGTTACGTTGTGATATGTACACATGTTTACATTATAAGCTAAGCAGATCTACAGCAATTAATAGAAGTAGGAGTTATTATGCACAATATTCTGCAAAAGTTTCGTTCATGGTGTGAATATTTTATCTGCCAGATAATTTTCAGAACAAGACAACATATAAGAATGAACTCTTTGAGCTGATGTGTTGCTTCACTTTCGTTCACAGGAGCCTGCAGCAGAGATGAACAGCCAACTAAGAAATGCTAAGCGCAAAGTTTACACTGAAGGAAGAAGCGCAGTTGCGGAAGACAGAGGAAATGAGGAGAACTGGGAAAATGAATCATCCCACTGACATTGAAGAGGAGGCAAAGACTCGGGTACGCATCTGGCATTCCTTCACCCCAGGATCACGGAAGCAGTGAATAATGCTGCGTCTACCAAAATGCGAGACGGCCGAACACAGCCCTGCATTAAGATACATTTCTACACAGTAAACATAATTTACAGAAGTATTTGTGTGGCCACCAGCATGTTAATTTAGCAATGTCTGCAGAGAATCAGGATGTTTGCACCGTGGTGCAGTGAGCAGACCCGAGGAATAAAGGACATAATGCGATACTTCGTCTGTTAATTGAATTCTTTCACACAAACTGTAACATGTATTGTCGATTAACAATTAGATTTTGATATGAATTGTTTTTTTCTGTCACTTTAGAAACATCCCTCTGTCATTCTTACGTCTTTTCTTCTTCTCAGCTTTTCAGTTGGTTGTAGTTTTTGCATTTGTTTACCTTGCACTATCAAACTCTTGCTTGTTATGCCCTGCAAACAAATGATTTCAACATGTGATTGAACATCGTTTCCCCCACTAATGACCAATCATGGGATTGGAAAAATCTGAGGTATTTTAGCATTCTTTTATTCATGTGGCATGTGCTGTCAAATTAGGCACTGTGCTTTATGCATCAACTTCTGATTTAGCATTTAGTGTAA